CCACTGAATTGCTGAAGTGGACAGCATTATGGAAGGATGATCTTGCTATATGCCTTACCAAAGTACTCACAGCAAGAACTTCCTTCCCGGTTAACAATGTGAATGGATCCAAAAACATGCATATGCATGGTATCTCCAGTAGAGTAAAGACTTATTTTCTCAGAAGTCAGTAATGGGCTGAGGCTGGTGATCCAGGTAAATCAGTGCCATGAGAACAAACACCACTTTGCTTGCTCACCTCCAGACATTTATAACATTCATGTAGATGATAGGGATCCCTCATGCCATGTCTCAGTGTTGGGTATGGTTTGTAGATGAGTCTGAGAGTGTAACATAGGATATACATCAAGAAGATGAATTAAGACCCTGATTAAAGGGCTGGAGAGGTGTTTCAGCTCAGAGTTACATGTTTCAGGGAGTTACAAGTGCCTGCTGCTTTTGAAGAGGACCTGAGTATGATTCATAACACCCAGTTCAAATGGCACAATTCTTGCCTCCACAGGTACCTGCTACATGTGTACCTGCACATATAGATACAAATACACACAACCATGAAAAAAAAAAACTGCTGGTTAAAAAAAAGCTTATGGTTGGGGCGGTCACAGCCTCTAGTGTGTATCCTGCTATTGTTAGCTAAATGAGCTGTCCAATTGTCCTCTAAGTTTTAAAGTTTATTCTTGTAGACTTCGACTGCTCTTAACCTGGCTCAGAGAAGCTTCTTGGGTTGCACATGAATGCACACACATGCAAACGCCAGATTCACATGGGGATGTTACTCAATGATAGACAAAGTCCATAGCTACTGTGACCCACATAGCATGGATTTAAAAACCCTCACTGGGGTGGCAAGATGATGAATAAAGGAAAGATAGACACCCATGCAGAAAACCTGGGATCAGATGAATGTCTGCTACCATCGGAGGGTAAAAACTACTTCCAGCAACCCAGATCATCAGTGTGTGTATGAGGTATAGCACAAGGAGAGAGGCTGGCAGGTCTTGACAGGTGGTCACTGTAGACAAGCAGTTTCAGGTTGTAAATGTGATGGTTAACATTCAATGTCTGAATTGCCATGCTTGACAGATAAACAAAAACATCCCTCTAATATGTAAGCTTGTAGCTTGTACAAGTTTTACCCTAGCGGCCCACTTCCCTTTTCCCCAGGACATTGAAGACTGCTCTTTAATTGCAAAATCTGCTGTTCTTGCAAGACAGTTAAGTCAGAAGGTTAACTGCTCTTTCTGCTTTTGTAACCAAGCTTGCTTACTCTGCAAAATACAACGTAACGTTGTGGTCTTTGCCTTTATAAGGCCTGGACTGATACAACTCAAGGCTGCATTTTGGGAGTGCTCTCAGGTGCAGTCCCGGAACCAATCAGCCCAGGTGCCAGTATTTAAATAAAAAGCCTCTTAAGATATTAAAACATGTTCATGGTGAGTCTGAGTGACCCCAGACTCATGA